GCAGGGAAGTTCCAGGGTCGTCCCTACCGACTCTCCCGGCCCCCGCAAGGCCACTCACCGGCCGGGCTCCGCCGCGCCTCCTCCGCTCCGTTTCCCCGCACTCAGCCTCGCGCCGCCATTTTCCAGCTGCCTGGATTTAAATAGGAACCAGCCTCCCCCAGCCAGAGCCAGCCCGGCCGGCCAGCGCGGGGCACGGCGGGAAGTGTAGTCCTACCCCGCAGAGCACCCTGGGAACGCGCGGGGTATGCCGGGACCCGCAGTGCCGCCCCAAGCCCGCGACACTACATCTCCCAGAGGCCTCCGCGGCCTCCATCCAATCAGGGGCTGCGCTGGCGGGATGCTCCCTCTCTCCTGTTGCAGGAGACCCGGGTCCTCCCGCTAGGGAGGAGCGGAGCTGTCGCCGCCCTGCCAGTGCTCGGGCCCTGGTGGCGTGAGGTGAGGCCGTAGCACCTTAGAAACCGACTTGCTGAAAAAGGCTCCGCGTCTCCCCCTCCCTGAGGCAGGGTCCCTCTGCCGCCGCTTTCTTGGGCTCTTCATGGAGGAACCTCGAGTCCCGGCGGCGCTTCTTGAAATCCCGCGTCCAGCCCCTCGCCCACTCCCGTTGTCACAGCCCTGCCAGGACTACCCTTGTACCACGACACCAGCAACGACATGAGCAATGGAGTTCTTGTCAGGTGACCTGCCCTGTAATTTGCTGCTTAGCAGTTCCCTGAGTGACACGAAGGCCCCGGGTGCACTTGTGAGCCCTTATCTGTGAAAAGGTCAGAGACCACATGGAGAAGGTTAAAAAGCTGGAATAAATGGTCTGCTTAAGGCCCTCTGACAAGGAAGGGTTTTTAAATGCAACCTAACAATTTTGGGGGTGTTGGTTGTAGCCGCATTGCTCTAAGGAGAGAGACAAGGTTATTTGGGTGAATGTGATATATTTTATTAGACCAACTGAACAGTTGTCTCACTAGAATGATAAAACCTGCTGTGATCATGCACACACACTACAATGAATTTGGAGCGTATTTATGTCAACTCGTGGGAGTTTTTGCATCCCTAAAATCACATTTACGACTCTTGGTTAAGTAGCTGTAGAGAGACATGCTCTCGTATGCTTGTATTTCAGGAGTGCAAGATGTAGAAACTGTGTGTCTTGTATATGAAGACAAAACCTGTTATTAAGAAAACGTTAGAATTGGTACCTGACTGGGTGGAGCTGGAAGACAATACAGGAACCCACACATGGTAGCTATGTACGTTTGTAATTGTACATGGATGGAAACCAAATCATGCCGGCAGTCATGCAGTTTACAGCATCCCGTGGAATTGCACAGCTCAGCTCGTCACAAATTCTACTTCTGATGTTGTATTGAGGTAGATTAATAGCAAACTATATACCTAAAATTAAAAAAAATCTCTTCAAATTAACATTTTTAAGAGCATCTAGACTCTGAACTGCAGAATCTAAAGCCCATACTTGATTTTTATGGAACAACCTCTTGCAAGTAAAAATAGTCAGTCTAGTCAGCATAACATAGGTTAGGTTAGACATCAGGAGGCGCTATTTCACGGTCAGGGCGGCTAGGGTCTGGAACCAACTTCCAAGAGAGACCAGTTGCTGCAGCAGCCCCCACATAGATGAGGACTAAGTCAGTCATTTCTGAGTCAGTCATTTATTTCTTGTGAAGTCTGTGATGTTTGAATGGACCAAAGGGCAGGATTTGGGCCTGCTTAATATAAGGAGAAATAGTATAACTGACCATATATGAAATAAAGTGTCATGTCCCTCAGCTCCCCACACCCCCTCCGTCATTAATTTATTCCATTAATACGGTAGACTCAATGTTTTGGTTTCATGGGCCAAATGAGTGGCATGAGGCTGGTCTGCAGGCTGGATCAAGCCCCATGCACCAGGATCGGGCCCTAGGGAATGGAACCACACCCTTCCTGCCTCTTTTGTTGACGCTGATGTTGCTTCCTCACACACCCGTGTGCTGGGATTGGGCCCCAGGGGCCTGGTGCAGCACCCACATCCTGGTATTGGGCTCCAGGGGCCAGATAATGCCCCCTCCCACTCCTACACCCCAAGATTGGACTGTGGCGGCCTGGTACTGGACCCTCCCAACCCTTCACACCAGGATTGGTCCCTGGGGTACACAGTGGGATTGAGTACCCAATCCATCGTAGAACTTATTTGTGTCAGCTGTAGGTACAGAATATTACACTGACAGTTCTTCAACATGTATTTAGAACACAAGCAGGCTACAGAAGTATGGGTTGAATGAATGCACTGCAAGGGGGACAGAAAACGGGCTGGATTATCCGGCTGAGAGGGTAGCAGTCATTGACTATGTTTAGTTGGCAGCCAGTCTCAAGCAAAGTGCCCTAAGGGTCAGTCCTAGGGCCTCATTTGTTCAGTATTTCATCAGTGACCTCGAAGATGACATAGAGTGCACCCTCAGCAAGTCTGCAGATAACAACAAGCTGGGGGGAGTAGTAAACATGCTGAGGGATAGGGCTAGGATTCAGAGAGACCTTGACAAATTGGAGATTGGATCAAAACAAATCTCATGAGGTTCAGTAAGGACAAGTGCAAATTTCTTCATGTAGGACAGAACAGTCCCATGCACTAGTACAGCCTGGGGACCGACTGGCTAAGCAGCAGCTCTACAGAAAAGGATCTGGGGGTTACAGTGGACAGTAGGCTCAATTCAATTCAGTACAGTTTGTTAAGGATTCTGGCTAAATCCCGTGCTCCCAAAGATGACAGAACACACATTGGACCATAATATAAATAAGTTCAAACAAAGTAACCAAACTACAAATGTTATCTTAAAAATAAAGCCCAACAACATAAAAAACATTATTAATATTAATACAGTAGTAAATCAAGACATGAATCTATAATATTGTTGTAGATAGATCCACAATTGAGACAATAAAATCAAATCTGTTAAAATGTATCATTCATATTAGTAATAAAGGATATTTAACTCTAATTGCCTCAGCCTTATAAGCAAAAATTGCAAGATAGTTTACTAAATTTGGATCCGTTTGTTGTAAAAGCCAGATTAATTTCTCTCTGTTTGAAACATGTACCAGTTTCTGCAAGAACAGTAGTAAATAGGTTCTCCTTATGTCATTATATAAAGAACATTCTAAAACATAGTGGATAGTATCTTCCAAAACTAGACAGTCTGGGCAACATCTTTTAGCCCTTGGAATGGAAAATCTACATCCAGCCAGAACAGCTGTGGGCATCTGTTTGGTCCTGAGTCTAGTCAAAGAGGATCGCCATTTATTATTGAGATCCAACTGTAAATACCTTTCTTCCCCCCCAATCTAATTTCCAAAGAGTATATAAAAGGGGCATTTAAAGTAGCCCTAGCCACTTGTGATGTCTGGGGCCTCACGTTTGTACGGCCTGTTGGGTGAGTAGCCCTGCCCCTCAACTCGCCTGCTACAACTTTAATGTTAAATTATCAAGAGAGGGGTTTCAGTGTAGATCTTCCTGGGAGGGCCTCCTGACAAACAGCAGTACTCACGATTGTTTGGCGCAATGTTCCATGGGGCTTCACCTCCCCTACACCCAGTCTACTCGCCAACCAGATACAGTGTTCGTCGAGTGGGGATTTCGGCCCCTGCGGGATTGCCCACAGCTTGCTTTGGGTGGAGTCCCCCGTCAGCGTGGACACCGATGGCTCTCCTCCCTCCGGCTCCGAAGCACAGCCTGCCTTCTCTGGGCTCTTTGATTTCCCCTTTTCCTTTTTTTTTCCCAAAAGAAATATTCCCCTGGGGAGGAGCGAGCTGTGGAGCTGCCTCCTTGACCTCAGCCTCCTCCAGGGGGCTCAAATGCCTCCTCTGCCCTGCTCCCTACAGGGAGCTCAAGGGCTTCTCTTAGCTTGCCCTCTGCGGGGAGCTGAAAGGGTTTCCCCTGCTCTGCCTCCTGCAGGGGACTCAGAAGTTTCCCCTGCATGGCGTGGGGGAGCCACACAAGCTGTGCCGCTCCTGTCCTGAGCTGGAGCCTCAGCAGCTCTAGCGTGCTGCCCACCTTCGGGAGCCTGTGGTAGCACCTTGCTGCCACACCACTGCAAAATCATTCTGCCTGGCAATATCTCGTATCCTCTGGAAAAACTGAACCTTTTCTTTGGGGGAAACAAATCTTTCATTATCTTTGAGATAGTATCCCATCCCAGAAAGTGTAAAAGTACAGGAAAGAAAAGCTAATGAGGGTGATTGGAATGGAGGGGGATTATTAATATCCATGGGCTGCCTTAGTTTTAACTGGCTGAATATGATGTTTCCATGATGGAGAAGCTGTGAATAACACACCCAAATACTTATAGGTTTTGACAACTTCAAGTTTAATTCCCCCCATATTCCATCTTTTCCCCTTTTACCCATGCTGTGAGATGGTGTAGCAAATGGCACCCAAAAATTTCAGCTGAAAGTCTGTCAAATTTGTAGGGTGATAAGATTCCAGCTTATCTTTTAAACATTTCTTGAAAATCGGTACAATAATACTCCCAGGAATCTGGGATTTGTCCCAACTCAGTTATAGGGTTATACCATTTTTCCAAGTTAGGAGTCTACCATTTGATGTTATCAATGTAAACTTCCACCAGTATTCTGTCTGGGCCTGGGTGCACAGTAGGCTAAATATCATCCAACAGTATAGGCTAATAGCATACTGCATTACAGTAGTAGAAACATTGCCAGAAGATGGAGGGAAGTGATTATTCCTCTCTATTTGCCACTGGCAATGCCACATCTGGAGTACTGTGTTCAGTTTTGGGTCCCACACTACAGAAAGGATGTGGACAAGTTGGAGAGAGTCCAGTGGAGTGTCAACAAAAATGGTGAGGGGGCTGGGGCACATGACTTATGAAAAGAGGCTGAAGGAACAGGGCTTATTTAGTCTGAAGAAGAGAAGACTGAGAGGGGATTTAGTATCAGCCTTCAACTACCTGAAGGGTAGTTCCAGAAGATGGAGCTGGATTGTTCTCAGTGGTGTCAGATGACTGAATAAGGAGCAGTGATCTCAAGCTGCAGCAAGGGAAGTTTAGGTTAGATACTGGGAAAAAAACTCTCTCACTTGGAGGGTAGTAAAACACTGGAACAGGATATCCAGAGAGGTTGTGGATTCTCTGTCTTTGAGGGTTTTTAAGGCCTGGCTAGACAAAGACTCATCTGGGATGTTCTAGTTGGGGATGGTTCTACCTCGA